TTTCTCCTGAATGAAGTATTATATAAAGTTATTATTCAATTTATATGAAATATAAAAATAAACGTTATTTATCTGCACTGAAAACATTACAAAAATAGAATTAATCTTCTACACAATTTTTTCAATCTAAAAATTGAAAAAATTTTATCTCTTTCCATAAAATAAACTTATCTTTAACAAATTTTTATTAATGGTATTTAAATTTAGTATGTAAAATTTAGTATGTAAATTTAGTATGTAAAAAATAATAAGTTTAAAGAACATGTATTTTTCATTATCATAACATTATCTATTATTATTCTTATGAAATTAAAATAAAACTAAGATTATAGTAAAGTTGAAAATAACTATTGGGTTGTCCGGAAAATTTGTGCCGCAAAAGATTTAAATTTAATAAACTGTATACTAAAATTTAAATCTTTTGTGTTTCAATTTTCCTTCAAAATCGGTACGAACTTTCCGAACAACCCAAAAGTTATAAAGTTATAAAGTTTCGACAAAAACATATTTGATAAGAATGGAAAATAAGTTTTTATTTTCGACAAAATATAATATATTAAATACATTTATTCAATTTAAAAATCTATTTAAAACTTGTTTTTCGTTATTATATCAAATGTATTTCTAGAAATTAAATTGTTCTAAATCGTAAAATATGTATTAAGAAATGTTGCAATAATGGAAACTTTTTATTATCTCGAATATAATTTATTATGTCGAAGACATAGAGAGAGAAATGTGAGTATGGGATCATCTTCCAAATGAATTCTCTCGTGCATGCTGCTTTTGTATCTCGTTTAATGTCTCGTATATAATAATGATTTTTTTCTATCAATAATGTTAAAGATCGCTACACTTAAATATAGCTACCTGCATAACTGACCTGCAGTACTCTTTGAAATTATAATTGTATTTGTTCGATAGTGAAAATTCAAACGAAATCACTCTTTCACTTACTGTTATATGTAAATTTTATTTTTATTCTAAGAACTCGAAAAAAAAGCAAAAAATTTTAGTGCTTCTATCATTTTTTTAATTATCTTATTTGTTGAATTAAAAATTATTGAAAATCACAATTTTCAATAATTTTTAATTCAACAAATGATAAAATATGATCTTAAAAGTCTACTATTAAAAATAATTAAAATAAAAACGACTTTTTAATCATTTAAAATGTCTCACCTTCCATTAAATAAAAATTTCGGGACATAGTTCAAAGTTTTTTAAAAAGTATAGTATTGATACTATTTTTTAAATATTTGATATTAAAATTAAAATATGTCTTACATCGAAAAATATCTAGATTTATCCATGTATCTTAATACATTTAGTATACGATTATC